ACCTTGGCTTGGAGTGTGTTGACCGGGAGCTTGTCGAGAGTAACTGTAAGACGGAAGGAAATCTGTTCTTCTGACAACTGAGTCGACTGCAGGACAAGCATGGCACAAGATGTCATCCTTGAATTTAAGTGCTGTACCATAATGCCTTAGCATGTGAGCAAGGAGAGCCACAGTGACCAGCGCACTTTCACTGTTTATCAAATGGGAGGAACAGGCAACTGAGAACACTTGCAAGGAGCAGCTATGAGCAAAGACTCACAGGTAGGCCACGCCCCATAAAGGTACACAGTCAACACAAATACTACTTTACTTACAGTAGTTACATTTTCTAAGTTCTATCGTTCAAGGGTGCCACCAAATGGAAGAAAATAGAACTTTTGGGGTGGGGGGGAGTTACCTTGACCGGTTCCATCCTATGACGTGCATTGTTGTGGTTCAGAATCGGGCAGCACTCTATGAACTTCCGGTTTGCGTTGGCACTTCTTCGGTGGTCCTCATAAGAAATGTCAGCCTGGTCCTCCTCCGCTTCTGTTTCTTCTTCTACGCTGTTATTCAAGTCTAGCCGACTGTCGCCGAGCTGAGCACCAACGGTCGCCACAGCGAACAAGTCTCCCATTGGCTTTGCCTTTAACAAACGACCTTTACGCAGCACTACAAGAAAATGGACAGTCTCCCCGAGGTAAAAGTGCGTTCTCTGCTCAAGAGCCTCGCAGTCCACCGGGTCCGCCGCTTCCCCCGCGGCGGGAAAATACACAGTGTGTTCAAACAGCGACTCCATGGCCAGCGAAAAAGTTGCGCTCACCAACCATATGTTGCCATGTAAACAAACAAGGGAATGAGGACGTTGTCAAAGGCGGACACACGACCAAGACGTGCGTCCCGAAAATGTCGCGCTGCATAGAAACAAAGCAAAAAGTCCACAGCGAGTTCGCATTTGATGGTAATTTGTAGATAAAAAAAACAGCAGAGTGGTTAATCGATACGGCTTTGGAGCGGCTGAAGTTTGTACGAGACCAAAGTAATCGATCGACGAGAGTAGACGAGCTGATTGCTCGACGCTGGTTATACCACTGTAGATCATAAAAATAAAACGGAAGATATATATACTTTTTTTTACAAATACAATATTGCACAAATTAGGTGTTGGTCATAGAGTAACAATTGGACAAAAAACAAGGACCTAAATTTTAAAATATTGTTTAAGCATTAGCATTTTACATTTTACTCTTCATATTACGTTTTTTTTCTTATAACATTTGTGTTACTTCATATGTCTCATGTAATATATGTGTGTGTGTGTGTGTATATATATATTTTTTTTCCTTGAAACGTTGCCCATTTACTGTGATCAAGATATAATAAAAATAAGAATTACTACTATATTGTCGAAACCTGTACACATTAACCAAACTAAAAATCACTTTTGTTGGTTCCTTATTGTTACTTTTTGGAGCGATATGTCCACGTAGCACAGAAAAAGCAAACTCCGATCCCTGGTGTCTGTCTGTGTGACTTTTTATTTCATGGACTTAAACACTGAAGTTATTGTCAACTTGAATATTCAGAGTCCGGTGACAAATTATCAATGGACGCATTGTTGGGTCCGGCAAACCATGCGGAGGTACAAAAAAAAGAGAGAGGTTGAGACAGAGAGAGAGAGAGAGAGAGAGAGAGACAGAGAGACGGAGAGAGAGAAAAGACAAGCATCACATGATCTGGCTTCTCTGCTGGCAAAGAATTCCTCAAACAGTGGCCACAGATGTTTATTTAGTGCAGAGTACTGGGTGCTTATTGGAGAGAAGGCCTTCATTCGTACCAAAGCATTTTAGAATATTTAACATCAGACTGTATAAATAAATACTCAACAATAAAATATGTCTACTTTCATAAATAATTAAAGAGGCTGATTATTTGTTCGTGGCATGAATTGAGGCACGGCGTTTAAAAACCAGGCGGCCGCTATTTGAGGAAATTTGGTATACATCTCTGGATAGGATTCCTAAAAATGAATTTAGTGGGCAATTGAACAAAATGCTTCATCTGCCTTATTGTTGTCACAATTTCCCAAATAAAAGCATCAAGTTTCTTCAAATAATCCCACAAAGGATGTAAATGTTCCAGTTGTTCGCCTTGCTTCACGGGTGCTACAGTCTTGCAGCCATTGTTGTGCAACACATGAAATACTTCATTCCACAAAGTACCTTTCAAAATAATACTCCAAGTACCTTTTCAAACATGTATAAATACACCAAGGTGACAGTAACGGGAATACAGCGGAACCATTTTCGTCCAACAAAAGTATTGGCCTGGCCTGCACCAGGACGAAAAGAGTCCAAAAATTACTCGGAAAAAGTTGACCATTTTGGGGAGAAAGCTGCAATATATTCCCAAATTAAAATATTTGCATGTGGTGAATTTTGTCTCGTAATATTGTTTCCCTCAATCGCTGGCTTTTTTTTTTCCTCCAACTAGGACACCTATGTTCCAATCACATTGACTTGTAAAATGATAAATTTGCGCTGTTAGGATTTTATTTCTGCAACACTGCAGTGTTTTCTGTTAATGTCACATCTTTCCACTTTTCACAAAGATTTGATTGTTGCAAAACAATAATAAAAAAAAAATCTACATCTAATCTAATATTAGAATTTTATCCCTGTCACATTGACACCGGATAAGTTATTTTATCGAATATAGTTGGCAATTTTATGACCTTGTTTTACTCATAACATGTTTTTATTTGCATAAAATACAAATTTACTTAAAACTACAATTTTTTTTTTCTGGTAACTTTATGACTGTTTTCTTGCAATACTGCGACTTTAATCGTCGAAAATCATAGCTTTGTCTGTTGACTTTTCTTCTTTTTTTTCCCGCAAAATGACTTTTTTTTTTCCTGTGGCACTACAAGTTTATTAACGTTTTTCTCAGGACTTGCAATATCTTTTTTTTTTCTTTTTTGTGCGTGGCCCGAATGCACTCATCCGTAGGCTCTTTCATTGAAGTCAACGGTCTCGCCGTCGGAAGCGCCCAGAAGCAAAAAAAAGCTGGAAAGTGGAAGTACGATGAAAGTTTTTAGTTCAAGGAGAGTTCACTTAAACCGCTGGCCGCTTCCTCGTCCTTGCGGTGGACTCGTTGCGGTTGCGGCTAAGTAAGCGACTTCCGTCCCAGTCCCGCGGCCCCTCTTCCCCTGTCCTCCCTCCCGGGTCCCGACCCTTCTCCCCTGTCCTGGATGGGTCTAGTTTGAAAAAAGACCTATCAGAGGCTAACTTTGGGCTTTGCAGCCCCGGCAGGGCTTGCGGCGACTGCGCCCGCGGAAACTGTTTGGCGTCCAGCGTGTCTTTGTATTGGATCTCGGGGCGAATCATTCTCAGGCAGGACATCCTGGTGCCGTTGTCCAGCCCCGGCTGCAGCTCGTAGCCCAGAATTTTCACCAAGCCGCTCTGGAAGGGCCTGATGGTTTTGTCTCGGATGCGGTGGGCCTCCACGGGCTTCCCGCCGTCCCGGAGGCAGGCCCCGGCGAGGGCCTCGCGCCGGCTCCGCAGGAGAGCCACTTCCCGCTCCATCCGGGCAGCGCCGAACGCGGCCACTTCACGCCAGAAGGTCCGGTTGAAAGCTTGATACAAGTGCCAGTCCAAGGCGTTCCATTGGCGCAGCTTCTCCCGCTGTTCCTCCGTGAGGAACAGATTGGGTGGCGCTTTGGCGGGCAAGCGCCCGCCTCGAACTTTGCCCACCCATCCGTCGGTCAAAGCGGCGCCGGCGCCGCCGTCCGGTTTCTGCTGCCGCGCGTTGAGGCTGAAGGACACGACGGCGTCCAGAGGCCAGCACAGGGCGTGCCGCAGCAGGATCATAGACTGGTCGAAGAACTCGGACACCAGGACCAGCTTGAAGGTCTGGCGCACCACGGCCTCGCCGTGCCGCGCCAGAACCGCCGAGAAGTTGGCGTTGTGGTCCATGCCGAAGTCGAACCACAGCAAGTTGCGGGCGTAGTGGTTGTTGCGGGCGCGCGGGTCGTAGTACTTGCCGGGATCGTCCGCAAAGTCGCCCAAGCCTTTAGCTTTCCGGAACGCGGGTGCCACTTCTTTGTAATAAGCGAAGGAGGACTCGGCCAGAGCGACGGGGTCCCTGATGATGGAGAAGTAGAAGGTGTCCGCAGGCATCACCTTCTCCACCTAAAAGACCACCAAAGACGGCCACCGGTGACTTGCAATCAGACCAAACAAGCGCTTGAAGCCATCAAAATGACAACTTTTTGCTTGGGATGGCAGGACTTTTTTTTTTCGTGCATTTAATTTTCTCCCATCCTGTCACCCACTCACCTCAGCTTTATTAAATCTCATGTGATTGCCCATGATGTGGAACTCGACAACTCGAGGGCCCCGGTAGCCCTTGACCCTGTGGGCACTGAAGGGCAGCGGGTAGCCCAGCTGGTAGCCCAGCGGAAGGGCGAAGCGGAGGCCGCGCTCCTCCCCGAAACGGTAGAGCATGTTGAGCACAGTGCTGCTGGCCGTCTTGTGGGTCTTGAGGAACATGATGTGGGTGTGGGGCCGACACGGCCCCAGGGACGGACCCTGGGCGTCAGGGGATGAGAAGATGGAGCGAGCGGCCGGCTGGACGCTGCTTTTGGAGACACAAATGAATGAGGAAGAAAACACTTTTGTTGTTAGCTGTCCCCCACCCCGTCCCCCATTTTTCCTCCGCGTCGTATTACAATTTGGTTTCTTCAACGGTGTGACTTTCTCACATACTATAGCCAATTTATTTTTGGGGTAATGATACAAGAACTTTGTGGCCTCAAAACTGCAGATTTTTGCCGGTGAGATTTTGTTCCCGCCACGAGTTTTTGTCACAGCTTTTTTCCCCCAACCGCGTTACAACTTTTATCTCAAAATCTCAACTTTATTCCTTCCGGCGACGTTACGATGGCTAGCTAAAAAAAAGAGAGAGAAAATCCACAATTACCTTTTGCTGAAGATAATTCCCAGCAGTTGTCCAGCGAAAGCGATGGCCACGAAGAGCAGCAGAGCTTTCCACATCCAAAGCGGCCCCAGCCGGCCGCACACCAGCCCTCGCAGCATCCTGCCGGATGTACGGAATCAACCCGATGAGTGGACGAGACATTTGTAGCCAGAGCCGCAAAAAAACTTGTCCCCAATGCACTCAGGTTCCATCTCAAATGATGGACGATTTTTTTTTCTTATAACATTGGGACTTTTTTTTTTCTTGTCTACAGCATTACTCTCGTAGCATTGCGACTTTTGCACAATTCCGACTTCCCCCCTCCCCCATGATATTTCTTTATTGTCATAACATTGCAGCCTCTTTCCTTTCAACCAGACGATCTTTTTTTCTGCAACATCACAAAATTCTCACCACGCTGCTCCTTTTTTTCTTGTTTACCTTCCATTTTTATTTTGCACCATATTACAACCGTATTCTTGAAACTTTGCGATTTTTTGAACAACCTGACTATTTTTACACAGTATTCTCAAGGACATTTTTCCAAAATTGCACGTTTTTCCTCATCAAAAATGGGATTTTGTTTCAAACGTTACAATTTATTGATTAGAGCAATCCTGGTTTGTCACATTGCATTCATCCTTCCTGGCATTCTAACCATTTTGTCGGACGATGGATGTTTGCCCCCCCCCCCCCCCCCCCGCGATTTTACGTCTTTACTCCAGTGAGATTGCGACTTTTTTTTTTTTCTTGTAACTTGACTCGCATAGCTTTCTGATCATTTTCTCGCAGCATTGCCAACGGTTTTCTCGAGAGAGAAAAAAATCAACAGATGCAACAAATATGACAGGACTCTTGAAAATATCTGCCGTGGACCGGATTTCAAAACGGAGCGAGCCGTTCTTTGCCCCCCTTCGTTTTAAAGCGAAAAATGGGAAAGAAATGAAGAAGGAGAAAGGCCTTTGCGTGAGAAGGAGGGGGAAGGAGCCCCCGCACCCCACCCCCGCTATCTCTGCGTTTATTCCCCTACGCAATCCCTGCATCGCAATTTCGCCGTTTTTTTTTCTCAATCTGCACCGTTTTTACACCCCCCGCTACCCCTCCGGCTCCCCTGCAGAAAGCGAACGCTACCTGGCTCTCCGTTTGAAAAGCATCGGTGTGTCCCCGGACCGGTATCGGCGGCGGTGTTCGTGTGTAGCCGCCGGGAGCTCGGAACATCTCGCTGCGGGGATGAGGCGAACCGGGCCGGGGCTGGGGTTCGGATAGGGAGCGGGGTCCGAAAGACGTCTCGGGCGTTTGGCTTTTTATCTCCTCGAGCTGCCTAATTGTGCACGCAAGGGGATAGATGAGCTGGCGGCGCGCGAGCGAGACAAAAGATGCCCATGACTTCCGCTCACTTAGAAAAATAAAAGGGGCGACTGTGAGAAACACGTCCGGTGACTTCCAAAATAAAACCAATAAGTCTGTGGCCAGTTGAAATTTTTCTTTTGGTAAGCATGTATAATTTTATAACTTCCTCTTCAGATGCATATTTTAAAGGAAATGTATTTAATTTCGACAAACAAACAATTGTGAGATTTTTTTTTTACATTTGTAATGATAACAATCTATTGTTTTTGCATTATTTTTCATTTCATTTAATTGTATTGATTAACTAATTCTTTTTTCGGATTTATTTCGAATCACCCTGGTCCCACACACACACACACACACACACACACACACACACACACACACACACACACACACACACACACTTTCCCATCTCTTGACTGTTTATCAGCATTGATAGGAGAGATTATTACAGCCCCGGAAAAAATTAAGAGACCACCATTTTTTTTCTTCAATTTCTCATTGATGGTGATGTCTGTGGTCGACTGTTCAGTCAATAAACAAGCTGTTTACATAGATTGGATCGATTAGTTCAGCATCGGATGGGTGATTGGTTTTATCTTTTTTATTTATTTTTATTTTATTTTTACTCGCTGGTTGTTGATCGGCCCCAAAATCCGGATTGTGTAAAGCCTGTTTTTTGTTTTGATTTTTTTTTTTTTTTTTGCAAATGTACACAAATTTTTTTCTTCCATATCACCTTAGGTGCTCCATAATTATTCAAAAACATACATTTAAAAGGCTTTTTAAAAAAGTGTAAAGGTGTACATAAAATTATAACGTTTTCCTCGTAACATTATGCATGCCCCCTACCCCCACCAAAAAAAAGTCACTTGTAAAATAGTTGCTTTTTGCTTTGAGACCTCATGGAATTGCTGCAACTTTTCTGACTTTGAGTGCTTAATTTTGGAACATTTTGGCTTGTTCATATTATGCAAGTGCATACTATACCGGAGCAGTATTAACCTGTGTCCATTCAATCTGTGTTTCCCTGCGCAGGATCAGTCAAACAAGATTACTCCCGACTGTTGTGCCAAATGCCTCCACCCTAAGCTGATAAGTGGGGAATTAGAACTGGCCTTAAAGCAAGACGCGTGTATATACAAGAAGCAACAAGACCAACATTTCCTTCACGGAGCCCCAGGCTTCCCCCACATTTCAACATGCCTGTACTTGCCCCCGCCCCAAAAAAGTAAGTAACACAAAACACTTGAAAGTAGGAGCCTATTAAAATTAATTGCTTGCATTTTCTCACACCATTGCGGTTGAAATTTCCCCTGATGGGCGCTTTGATAATGAAGGCAGCATTTACAATGTTATATTAAACGCTATTGAGCACTATTATTAGGACATAAAGTTGCAAAAATCACATCCCTCAACCCCCAAAAAGTCAGACTAGAAATTTCTCATACAATTCTAGCCCAATTGTTCCCTCCAAAAAATTGCGTGAAGTTTTACCAGACCGCAAGCGCTGCTCTTAAACCCAACCGCTACAGTGGGCCAAACCCCTCCCCCAAAAGTCTTCTTTCGACTTGAAATTTCACACACAACCGTGCCCCAGTTACTCACCTGCTCTTGGAATATTTTGCTGACGTGGACCGCGGGGAAGATAAATCCGTTCCTCCTCATCTGCCCAAGGCAACCAGTTGAAGTTCATCTCCAGAAACGCACAAAACAAATATTTTGCTGCACCGTGTTAGCGGCTAAAAATCGACGTTTATTCCCCGTGGAGTCCCCAGGCAAGACTCGAAACCTGACTGCAGGGCTTCCATAACACCCAAACAACATGCCCCCTCTGTCCTCTTAATCCAGCCTGTCGTAGACTAAATAAAACCTCGGAGGAAGTGTGAGAAATCACAGAGAAGTCGTAAATGCTCATAATCATTCAGAATTTTTTTATACAGCTCTTGTGTTGGATGTGTGTAGTAGAAATGTAGACTATTATTATACGGAAATGCATTACTAACTGAGAAGTGTCGATTATGGAAACAAGTTGTCTCCCGGGTGAACAAAATGCCCTTCTGCTTGTCTGTACTTTTGAGAGAGAATTTCTCACTCACAATTCCTCAACCAAAATAAATATGACCTCCCACAGGTGGGGCGGGGTGGGGGGAGTTTACAATGTTATGATCTAAAAAAAAAAAAAAAAAAAGGCAGAACAACTTGAAATTGATATACTTTAATTTTACAGTTACAAAGGCTAAAAAAATTGAAATCGCTCACCACAAAAGTGGTTTCAGATTGAAATCCTTGTTGCCTTCCTTCCATCATCCTCCCGTTCTTCCCCCTTGCTTACTCCTCCTTACTTCCTTTCTTCCAGTCATACTATTTTTCCCTTCCTTCTTTGTCTCCCAGCATCAACAGCAGCTCATTTTCCTTCATCCCATCTCCTTTTCCTTCATAAGCTCCTCATTTCCATCCTTCCTTCCTTCCTTCCTGAAAGAAGAGATTTTAAAAATGTTGCCCCCTTCCCTGCAGTATTTTCTGTGTCATACGTCAACCCGCTGTGTTCATTGTAAGCTTTATTACAAAATATGTTTAAACATGTACACACACACACACACACACACACACACACACACACACACACACACACACACACACACACAGAAATAAAGCACAGCCATTATGAGTGTTGTCAGTCATGGGAAGCAGAGAAAGGAATCACATCATGGAGTAATGGGAAGGCCTACACGGTGTACAAAGAATTTCCCAAACTGTCTATTTGCATTTGCACACTGGAGCTGAAGTCGATCCGCTCCGATGATCTTGATGCGGGTCGTCTCGTCATTGAGTGTCTGCCTTGCCTGGCTTACTGTTGAAAGAATGCGTGTAGACATGTTGGTTATTACCGTCATACTGTACATTGCAGTCGGCGACATTTCATGACGTATTGCAGTTGTGATTTCAGTTGCTGTATCCTGATATCGTTGTCAAGATGTAATGGTAGCATAATAGATTTTAGTCTAATTCTCATATTGATGTCATCATCCCGTGTTTTTTTTTTCCCTCCGGTTATTTCAAGTATTGCATAAACGCGGTATCGTGTTACCGTTGGCAAAATATTGTAATAGATATGATGTGTCTATAAAAGTTTCCAGATATTGTCGGCAAAGTATCATACTATCATTTTACAAGTTAGCATATCGTGATATCAGTATTGGAAAAATGCCATACTATCACACTAGAAGCAATTTGATCATTTCTTATCTCAAATAAGTGTCACATACAAAGTCTTCTTCTCGTGCATTAATGATCATGTAAGCACAGTATCATGATACCGACAGTAAAATAGACTGTGATACAGTACTAGTGTGTTATTGTGCACTTCCCACCCCGATTTGTAATCAATACACCACAGTGTGTCTTATCACCACCATTTCAAATCCTCCATGAATGCATTACGCTTAGTATGAAAGGGTGCCGAAAAGGGAGCCCTGGCCCCTACCTCTTTTCCGGAACAGGTGCCGCAGATGCATCCGAAAAGCCCGTTGATCATTTGAATGAGACAGAGGATCAGTTCAAGGCAGGCTGCCACCAAAAGCGTGGAGAACAACCCCACGTTGAATTCAACCACATCCTTGGGGAGGATGCACCAATTCCACATGTGCTTTTCTGTCAGGTAGCTCCCAGTGCTGCAAGGACCATTAACAGAGAATTGCGCGACGTCATCTTCTGGAGCTAGTGTATCGTAGCACCTAGGGATTCAAGTGACCTGACTTCATATTTACTTGTACGATCTTTTTTTTTTTTTTTTTTTTTGTTTGGAGACAGATAGCGAAGCCCCGCCCCCAGGCCATAAAAGCTTAAAGTTGTTTACTGACACTCCCTGTTGAAGTTTACTCTCAAAATAATCTAAACAAACTTGCCTTTGCAAACTTAACGCTAACACGCAATTTGGAACACCACAGACATGCTAACAATTAGCATTGGTAGTCGGCGTCTTTGAACACAAATCAAAAACACGAATGCAGACAAAAGGGCAATACGTACTTTCTTTATCATGCGCAAAAACCCGCCCAAAAATCCCGACTGGTATTACTGCAACTAACTGAGGAGTTGTGACCATCTTCTCCGTCTCACTGAACTGTATGTCTGTAATATACTGCCCTGAATTCGCCAAGGGAGTCGCCATGAATGAGTCATAATGCTCCAATCTTTTAATTCTTTAAAATCCACTTCATGTTTTTCAGATAGATTTAAAAAATATATAGAATCATTATTATTATTATAGAACAATTCCTCTGCAAAATATCGAACATCCGGATTACCTGTTTGCAAAAGGAACCCCCCATTTGGGGAAGGGATTTTGCATATTGCTCCAGTAGCACAGCGGCCCGTTGGCAAGGCCGAGGGCAGCCACGCTCAGGCTGTACACGGCCCCCGCCACACCGGCGGCCGCGAAGCCGATGGACAGAAACATCTGTGCGGCGGGACATTGTGTCAGAAGCTTACAAGCTTTTTTCTTGGGTTTTATGGGGCCGAAAAAAAAGTTTATTTGCACTCACCCCACAACGGTTGGCGCAGCATTTGCCAGAACTGGTCAGGTGAATGTGGATGGCGGGGATGAGGACCTTTCAGACAGAAGCATCAAGACATGACATGTGGTATTTAAACAAAAAAAAAAGATAGAATTTTGTTTAAGGGTCAATCTCAAAAACACATGTAGGATGATACAGATAATTTGCCACTTTGGTTCAAAGCACCCATTTTGAGTTGCCTCAAAGCCAAACCTAGTTCAGAGCCAGTTTTCTATACCAATGTGAAATTGAAGAAGCACAAAAAAAAAAAGGCCATCAGACCCACAAAAAAAGTCCATGATCCCATAGCAGAAAAACAGGAAGTCGGCCATTTTGGTTCAAAGCAGCCATTTTAGGATCATTTTCACGGTTTCTCCCGATGCCTCAAAGACCAACTTGATGAGTTTGTCCGATTACTACCACATTGGAATCACGTATACTTGACATATCCATCCATTATCTGATCCGCTTATCCTCACCAGGGTCGCGGGGCGTGCTGGGGCCTATCCCAGCTGTTTTTGGGCAGTAGGTGGGGAACCCCCTGAACTGGTTGCCAGCCAATCGAAGGGAGAGACGAACAACCATTCACGGTCACAATCACACCTAGGGACAATTTAGAGTGTTCCGTTAACCTGCCATGCATGCTTTTGGAATGTGGGAGAAAACCGGAGTACCCGGAGAAAACCCACGCAGGCATGGTGAGAACATGCAAACTCCACACTGAAAGGCCGGAGTCGGAATCGAACCGTGGACCTCTGCACTGTGAGGCAGGCTTGCTAACCAATCCTCTACCGTGCCACCCTACTAGACAAATGGGCAACAATAAAGGGAGTTTTCAACTTTTCATGCAGACCTCACCTTGTTTTTTCCAGAAAAGTGCTTTCTTTGTAATTGAGTATTAGTAAAACACAAAATGTTATCGGTTTTAATTTTTTATTTTTATTTTTGGAAGACAGCATTGTGTTGCTCGCAAGTGCGCAACATATGATTGACACGTCATAAATCATGCATTATGTCTGATAGTTTTTTTTTTCAGGCACGGTGTTTTCTTGCAGATTAAATTAGAGGCACAAGATTGGGCCAGAGATGACTGATTTTTTTTTCCACTGATAATATTTTTCATGACTGTCAATTCATGACAAAAAGTGATTTAAAAAAAATGTCTAAACTGTCCTTTTAAATTGCGGGTTTTTTTTTTGGGGGGGGGCATTGCATGTGAGTGTTGGCGAAGTTTAACGATTCGACCAAATGATGAAAATTCAACCTTCAAAGCACCTTTTAGTTAGCAACACGGCATTTAATAGCCATGCGTATCGTGAGCAGAGCCCCAAATGAGTCTCAAGAACCCATGCAGGGAAAACACACAGGAAGTCTGCCATTTTGGTCCGAAGCGGCCATTTGAGGGTCATTTCTCATGTTTCAATGGCTCCCAAAATTTGAACGACTCACCATGATGCCTCCTCCGATCACTCCTCCCATGTATTTCACCTCCTCAGTGATCCGGGGGTGTCCCTCCCGATCCTCGGCCGCATACTTGGTCTGGAGGTCGGGGAAGAAGAGCACGATGTTGCAGATGATGGAGACCAATGCCAGGATGTAGAGGGGCACGGCGATGAACTTGGAGCACGCTCCCGTACACATGTTTGCAGGTGAAAGCACAAAATAACACAGAGGGAATTCCTCTTTCAGATATATGACTATATATATGATTAGCGCTACAGTGTGTGTCATGCAAAAAGGTGGACCGATCAGCGATAAGCGCACGCCGCCTGATTAGACATTTTATGACCTGGACTTTATGGCATGGGAGTGTGTATCGACAGTGTTTCCATGAGGGCCATAAAAGTCAGCTTTGTTTGCTTTGCGCCTTTTTCTTTTCCAATAATATGTTACAAAGACAAAAGGTTGAGTAGTAGAAGATTTTTTTTAAAAAATGAAGGTGTCATTTATTCAGAGAATAAATTGGGCATGTCAAGAAAAAAATCTATCTGAAAATTATTTTTAATGCTTGATATTTAAAAGGGAATTCTTTGAAGAAAAAAGGTGTATTACACTTTAAGAAATTAAGGTCATAATTGCTCTAAAAATAAGTAGATCGTTTAATTTAAAAATATATATATTAAAAACAACGCCCATCCCAGATAAGGGGAAGAAAATGGCTGGATGGTTGCATGATTTTAAAAAAGTCGGAAGTCATTACAAAAATGAAGTCATAATTTCATTAAAAAAAAAAAAATCTGCAAAATGTTGTTTCTCAAAAGGTCTATTTCTTTTAGGCATTTAGATTGATGAAAGATTTTTTTTTTAAGATTCTCGACAACTGAGAAATGAAATTATATTTCAAAAGTTTACAAATAGATTTTACCAAAATTAAGTTGTGGTTATTACAGAAATTATTTATGTTTTTTAAAAAAAAAAAGTATTACAAGAATGACAATCCAAAGCATACCACATCAAAATGTAAATCCTTTTGGAACCACCCGTGCTTTGAATAGTTTCACGGCATTGCGCAATATGCAAAAGCTGCATATCTAAGTTGCCATAGAGTCGGTGGGAGTCGGGGCGGGGGAGGGGGGCTGCATGCATGCGTGTGTTGTAATTTGATGGTCTTATCAGTGAATTATGGTGCGATTGAGATCTTTAGGGCGTGTCAACGTCCATACCTGACGGTTGAAACACACATAGACTGAGGTTATTAATCTCAGTGATGTAAACAGCGCTCAGTGCCTGGTACTACCACTCTGAATGATTTGGTTGGGAGGTGTGGGGGGGGTAATAACATGATGATGTCATAGGGAGGAGTTTGCCAAATGACAGATTGACAAAATCATTTTTGCCAGAGTTGACAAAAGAATGTTATAGAAATAAAGATGCCATGTTTAGAAGGGAAAAAAAGTCATAAGATTTTAAAAAATGTTTTCATTCATAGCTGGACTGTTCAGGTTGTCTGAGAAAACTTTGCGCTAGCTCAGAGAGCTCTTGCTTAGCTAGCAAAAGTCGTAACTGTTTCACTCTCAAAGAGAATAATACGGGATTATTGTAGTCATTTTAAAAGGTAAAATCAGTGACTATTATGAGGGTAATTGTACAGCAGTTAGTTTTAAGATGACAAATTATAACAAGGCATAAACCTTTTATGATTTTTTTTCCCTCTGAAAATTGCAAATTTGCGATATTTGTATTTCGTTTTTGCAAATCACAAGTTAATTTTTAAAAAATTACATTTTATCCCTTCATGAGGAAAAATCTGAATTTACAGTGTAGAAAGTTTTTACAATTATTCCTCATACAAATTATGAGTTTTTATGCGGTGGCAGTATGTTTTCACAATAATTTGCACTTTTATCTCAGGCATCGGATCAATTTTTTCCTTCCAAATATTCCATGTGAATTACTCCAATTTCATTCGTGTAAATAACTCGTAAATGACACTGTTTTAGACATTACTTCTTTTTGCAATTACATCATAATGAGGACATCCAAATATTTTATTACAACAATTTATTGATTAATTAATTCCACATGGAGCAAATATACAAGGAAGCAGTCCGAACAAAAGTCTTCTATTTTCACTTGTAATACTTTTCATATTGCAATGTGTATCGTCAAGTCAATCCAAGCTCCCGACTCCTGGTTTCAGGACTTTCGAAGGACCCGAAACGGGAGGCCGTGACCCGGTATGATGACGTCAGCCGTGCGGAGCGCCTGTTGGCGGCTCGTCTCCTGCGCGGCAGGGTTCAGGCTTAAGTCCCGCCACGTGTCGTCATCGGCGCAGCAGTCGAATAGGTCCCCAGCCACCAGAATCGTACCCACCGATGTTCCCTTCACCTGGACGCTCACATCCTGGCCGCTGTGGCCTGGACTGGGAACCACACACACCTGGAACACAGACACAGGTGAGAAGTTTCGTGGTTGTATTGAATAGTAACATCACAAGATGAAAATGTTAAATCTAAAAAAAAAAAATGTACATGACGATTGCGGCAATCTGAATCACTCGACGAATAGTACCACACAGGAGCCGTCACATCCCAGCCGCCTGGGCCACACCTCTCGAAGGCACACATACACTCCTATGATTTACAGAGGTGTGCGATTAACAACATTTTGCTGGTCCATTATTCATCATCCGGGAGCGGCCTAGGCACTCGCCCATCATCGTAAATCCGTAATTTTTTCGAGCCGTGCCAAACTGTAAACGTCAGTTGGTTAGTCCGTCATGTTATTTTAACCACGCTTCCATCTTCCTCTAGTATTCAAAGCTACTTTCTTTCCCCTTGGCTCATTCATATACCCTGACTATACTAACAGTTAACGCATGATTCCAACACGCTTTATTGTCTTTTGGGTGTATAGTCACCTACTGTACATACATCGTCAATGCAATCTACTCAAACAAGCAGACCGTAAAAAACGGATGAATGCATAAATAAATTGAACGTCTCTTACGTGCTGGTCTACGACGTGCGCGTGCCCCTGTGCCATCTTATTGGGCCGATATATGTCTCCTCGGCTGAGGTCATACCCCACGATGACCACAGCAGACGGGAAAAGATTAAGGTTCCCCACGTGGTCAGAATGGCCGTGAGTCCCTACGACCAAGTGAATGTCCCCGGGCTCCAGGCCCTTTTTCCGGAGACTCTCTACGAGAAAGTCCCTGCTCCAAGGCCCGCCGGTGTCTACCAGAATGTTGTTGCCATCTCCCGTAACGAGCGTGACGGTTCCGTCGGCTCGAAATGTTCCATCGGGCTGCGGGTCGTAGTAGCCCACTTTCAGTACCGACACCGAGTATGGATGGCCGGGAAAGTCCAGCTGAGTTTCACGTAAAAGGATCTTTTGGAAGTCAACAGAGAAAGCCATTCACTTCACTCGGCTGCGCCGTCCATGACGTCATGACTGTCGCATAATTAAGACGTACGGTGACGAATTACGGAATAGAGATGGGACAAATGAATATATATTGATTCAACACTAGATATTGATTAAACAAACAAAATAAAAACAAAGCACTTTGTCCATCCGAGTTGTGATACGTTGCGCTTAAAGATAGTTTTGAGACACACCTCGTCGATTGGTTTTCCTCTGCCGCCATCTGGCGGAACAGAGATGCCATTGCCGCAGTGACAAGTTGAACATGGTTGAGGGCCAAGACTTCGGGGAGGAAAAGCGTGATTTTATCACAGTTGTTTTCGATGTATATCACGAGAACAAAGTATAGATTTTATCAAAGTTGTTGTCAATGTATATCACGAGAACAAAGTCAAATTGTCGTAATATTCTGTGTATAATACTCGAATAAGTCGTTCCTGTAAAAGTTGTCTCGTCATGATGAGAGACAAATTTAGTAAGTGATGTATGATGCGGCCTTGTCTTCATATTTGCACTATTTTTGAACTTTTTTTTTTCCTCTGATATTAATGATAATCTTACAATTGTTTAACCTATTTTTCCTGGTCACACTGCTCCTGTATTCATGACATTTGTGCTGTTCTCCGATTTACCGGAAATATTTTTTAAAAATACATATGTTAAAAAAAAAAAAAATACAATGCGTATTAACTTCTGACATTTTTTGTCATTACACCCCCTCCAATAAGAATATGTAATTTGAAGATGATAAATAATTAATTTGGGTTAAAACATATAGTACCACTAAAAGGATCGCCCGTTGTAAATTACATTTGCTGAGTTTACAAACTTTATAGTAGTACGGAAAGAAACAACAAAACAAGACTCACTTTTTAAAAACTAACAGACAAGCCACATATGCTTCGTGTTTCCATGGAAATGCAGGTTGAAGATCTTTTTGTGGGGGTTTGTCAAGATAGCGTTTCCACGTTGGCCCTTCAAGTCTTGTCAAGATTTAGAAAGAAGCTGCTTGAGACGTTTTGGTGTAATCCTTGAAGTCCGTTTGGATGCTAAGCATGGAGCAGACCTGTTTGAATTTGCATCGAAGTTTCGCCATATCCTCCTGCAGTTTTGCGGATTTGGGGTCATCACAGTTGCAATTCTGGATCAAATACTGAAAAGATTCAAGGGCTTTGACACGTTTTCGGAGTTTGGGGTCTGGTCCATGCTGAAGAAGACATTTCCATGTAACGACAAATCCGTGATAAAAGGAAATCTCCGTGGACAGTTTAGCCCCGTGAGAGGCTCCATGTTTGCGGCCAGTCTGCAGACCTTGGTAGGTCCCTTTCTCGAAGCCTTCTTGGTAGCCCTCCCCACGGAATTTTTCATCCGCCATGAGAATACAATCAAACATATCGTTGTCGTCGGTCTCCAATGCCATTTTTGACGTCAGATCGTTTTCAAACTGCTCGTAATCGTTGAGGAGTTCGGCGCGTGAGTGACGTAATCAAAAGGCGACTATGCAATTTTTCGCTAACGTGTGAAAATAGAAACTCGTCCTTTGGTAAAAAAATAATTTGAGCGATTTTTCTAAACAATTATTTTGTTAATGCTTACCGGAATTATCTTCATAAAAATATACGTTGGTCCGAAATTTTGTTCCCCACAGAATCATTGCTTGGTTTGGTAAAAGACGGACTCTTTAAGCTGTAGCACATGCCACGTCACGTGACTTGACCGCTGTACAATGGCGGAACAAGTCGTTATTGAGAAAGCGTCCTCTTTTATGGACCCCTTTAAAGGCGTCTTGTTGACATATTTGATACCAGAATCGTGCTACGATGAGCTTTTTCTCAATTTCAATTTCCTACACGGTGAGTGTCATGTATTGAGTGTTATTTCATCCCTAACACAGGCGCTAGTTTGGGTTACCCGAAGCCCAAATGAACTTGCAGAGGGATAATGGAGAACTAAAGATATTACACGCTCCTTTGGTGACATTGTCCTTCGGATGGCACACTGTATATGTTCTGTGAATTCTTTTGCTGTCATTTGAAATGCCTTTCCCAGCAGCATTAACCTTGCCTCGAATATTGAAAACTCTCTCTTATTTTGTTCAAAATTTGTGTTTCAGTACCATGTTTGAAGATTTTACTCAGCAAAGGCCTGGGGATCGCCATCATCCTGGGATCGATGATGGGTAAAGCACCTTTTATATACCTCCGTGCAAATGATAACACAATGTTTTAAATACTAAGTACTTGTTGTGTTCCCAGTGAAGCTGCCTCAGATCCTGAAGATGATGGGCGCAAAGAGCGGCGAGGGCCTGAGCTTCCAGTCGGTGCTCCTTGAGCTGCTGGCTATCACGGGAACGATGGCCTACAGCATCGCCAACAAGTTCCCCTTCAGGTGGGACCTCGCTCAGGCCATACGTTCACCGAGCCGCGGATTGTTTAAGGAGACGTTGTTTGATGCGTTATGTCAGCGCTTGGGGCGAGGTGCTCTTCCTCATGCTGCAGACAGTCACCATCGGCTTCCTCATTCAGCACTACGGAGGGAGGAGCGGCAGAGGTGAGACAAGAAGCAAGTCGAGATTTTTGGGGTAGGGGGGTTTGAAGCGCAGAGGAATTCAAATGTCTGAAACGTTACATGGTAGGCCATGCTTTTGTTTTTTTTTAAAGAAAATCAATCGAAAATTTAGAAATGCAAGAATGGTCGCCTTTGGATAATGAAGTCCAAAGTCCTACTATTCCAAAAAAAGCTAGAAAAGTATTTCCAGAAAAAGTGGCAATTTTAAGAGAGCAAAGGCTGAGGGGAGCGGGGGGAAAAAAAGCTGTAACGACAAATTGTTTTTGGCAGGTTTCCTTTTTCTGATCGTATACTTTGGTCTGCTGGTCGTCGTGCTGTCTCCGGTCACCCCTATGTCGGTGGTAACCACCTTGCAGGCCTTCAACTTGCCTGCCGTCATCGTCAGCAGGGTAGGCACGGTGAAACCTACGGCAACAAGAATGTTTTTTTCAGGAGCTATTTTTGTATCTTATATATATATATATATATATATCTCATTCTATTTGTTTATTTATTTATTATACATCACAGTGAATTGTTGCAGTTAGCTGTCAGCAATTTGCGCTGATGGCAGTTCATTTTGTTAGAGGCTGTTGAGAGAGAAAAAAAAGTGGTCATACTTGGATTGTAAAGATGAATCTTTTGAATAGATTTATAATTCTTTGAGAGGTTTAAAATACTTTGAATAGAAATCAATTAAAACTTAGTGTACCGTATTTTCTGCACTATAAGGCACTTCGGAAGGCGCAATGAGTGGCCAATTGTAAAACTGTTTTCATATATCGGGCGCACCGTATTATGAGGCGCATAGAATAGAAGCTACAATAGTGGCTGCGGTTATGTTATGTGTCCACTCGATGGAGCTACGCTAAAACGAATACAATACAATACAGCATTATTTCTTTAGCACCTTCCCAACCGCTGCAGCTGTAACCAAGCGCTTTACAGAGCGTTTAAAACGTCCAAGAAATCAGAATCTTGATCCATATATATATAAGGCGCATCGGATTATAAGGCGCACTGTTGGCTTTTGAGAAAATTGAATGCTTTTAGGTGCGCCTTATAGTGCGGAAAATACGGTATTTGAAATAAAAGTCAGATGGTGGTTATCTTGAGTTTTACTCTCGCATGTGTTTTTGGGTGTCTTGCAGCTGATTCAGGCAGCCACTAACTTCCGCAATGGACACACGGGCCAGTTGTCTGCCATTTCTGTCTTTCTGTTGTTTGCTGGGTCGCTGGCACGCATCTTCACGTCACTCCAGGTAGCGGCCATTTTATTTGGAACGCGCTACACTGCCGCTGTTGGTGATTTGAGTCGAAATATTCTGACGATACACCACAAAGAATTTTTTTTAAAAAGTAATTTTATCAGAATAAAGTCAGAATTAACAAAAAAAAAAAAAAATTATAAGAAGGTCAGAATGATATGAAAGAAATGTGTATTTTCATGAGACTAAAGAAATATTTTTGTGTGTTTCAAAAAGGTGTCATATTCATTATCAGACATGGAGTCCTTTCTACTTTGTTGCATTTTTATTCTTCTTCCCAGCGATGACCTTGTCTTGTTACACGTGTCCGCAGGAAACGGGCGACGCGCTGATGGCCTTCACCTACGTTATCTCCTCGGCCTGCAACGGCATCATCGCCCTGCAGGTCCTCTACTACTGGAATAGCTCGGCAGAGCGCAAGAAGAAGAAAAAGAAGAAGAAGCGAGAGTAGGCAAAAGAATTCCTCCACAACCGCAGAGCAACTCTCACCCTCAAAGGTATTTGGGGGAAACTTGACGAGAAACAGAGCATGCCCAAAACGAACAACAACAAAAAGATGAAAACCACAAAATGACATTCCTCGAGTTGAAAAAGAATTCCGAATGTGATCATAAATAAAACTGTACAAATCCAGACTGATTTGATGTCTCTGTTGGTCAATTCCTTCAGTCAGTTCGAACGTTTTTGGAAGCGGCACGTGTTCCTCTACTGCGTGTGTTTTGTGTACCTTGCACATTGGCCCTGCTAAACCAATCCCTTATCTGTGTGTGTGTGTGTGTGTGTGTGTGTGTGTGTGTGTGTGTGTGTCTCAAGTAGGGTGGAGTTTTATGAACATGTCTTGATAACCTGAAAAAAACTGTAAACATACACTTCTTGCCCCCCACCCCTTTCAAAAAAATTGTAATATGATTATTTGAGTGACTACAAATCCGAGACAAATGCAACAATAAGATATGATTACAAGGAGGAAAAAAAAGTCATGTTAGTTTGAACACACACCATTAAAATTTGACATCATTCGAGGCGATGAAATGATGCCAAATGTTTGAGGACGCCGTATATGTCATTTTCATAAGAACAAAGGATGTTCAGTCTACAATGCAAAAGGATTACATAATGTGTACTAATTTGAGTATTTGTGTCAGTCTTAAGTTTTGTCCATTGTGATCATTGTCAAAAATATTGTCCCCCAATTAAAAAAAAATAGTTTGAAGTGGTGACTATCATCTGTACTAATTGGTGTATTATACAATCATTTTTCAAAAATATGTTAAACATCTTACTCAGTCAAATTTTTATGGAAAATGTTTTTTATTGTCAAACCAATTTAGGGAGAAATAGTGTTTTATGTTTATTGTATAAAGTAGATTTTTAATTCATATTTCCAAGACGAGATCCTTCTCATAGTTACCAAATAGAATATCTCATTTATTGTAGTTTTTTTTTCGAAATAAAAAAATACTTATTCTTCTCATATACAAAGCCTTGTTATGACCGAGACAGGTATTCTCCACGAGTACCGTATTTTCCGCACTACAAAGGCGCACCTAAAAGCATTCACTTTTCTCAAAAGCCGACAGTGCGCCTTAGAATCCGATGCGCTTTATATGTGGATCAATATTCTGATATCTTGGACGTGGCATTTTAAATGTTCTGTGAAGCGCTTTGTTACAGCTGCAGCGGTTGTGAATCCCTATATAAATAAAGCTGGATTGTATTGTATTCCCGTTAGTGTAGCTCCATCTAGTGGATGCCTAATGCAACTGCAGCCACTCTTGTAGCCTCTATTTGATGCACCTTATAATGCGGTGCGCCCTAAATATTACAATAGTTTTAAAATAGGACATTCTTTCCAGGTGCACCTCTTACTCTGAAGTGCCTTATTGTGTGGAAAATATGGTAAATTGTTGTAATTTTTATTGTATTGTATTAATTTACAATACAAAACCACTTCCAAATACAAATAATTGCAATTGGAAGTGGTTGAATTTTCAAAGCAATGGAAATTTCCATACAAATACAGTGGAGGTAGTAATTGCATGTTGACTCTTTACAATGTAACTTAAGCTCCAATGAGCATGTGAGTGATAAAGTCGCCTGAACTTTGAAATGTTCGATCCTTGAAACCGAAGAGAAATGGCGGAGGTCACCCTTTTGCATAAAGGGACTTCTTGGCTGGATCCTTTTGAGGGGCTTTTGTTGGAGTATTCGCTGCCGCAGTTATGCTCCGACGCTTTTTTCTTGCGCTTCGACTTTACGGACGGTGAGTACGTGCTCCTCGACTCAGACTTCCGTACGGCGCGAGGGTGCGTTCACAAGACGGCAAGCGGCACATCGGCAACGGGAATGTGCTTGGTGTAATGATTGATGCGCCACACCGGCTCGATGACTGCATCGGGATTTTCTGCGAGCATCAGCAAATCTGATTGAATGCCTTTTTTATAAAACAACTTGAAACAAATTGAATGCCCACGTTCTACCGCATGTACACATGAGCTATCATCAGGAGTGTCTGAATAAAATACACCTCAAGCCTCAAGAGAATCTGACTTTGAGTCACTGCAAGTGACAAGACGGGCATCCATTGGCTCTGAAAGGGGTCTGGGAGTGCCCATGTACTGTCGAGCCCTTTGAGAGCTGTTGCAACTTAGCGCCGTGCTAACTGCTAACTAGCAGCCTACAAAGGGTGTTTGAATTGAATTAATGTTTCTGCACAAAGTATTTTATACTTTTGAATGTCATATAAGGCCTTCATTTTTTTCTTGCAAAATCTAATGACTTTTGATGAACCCCTCTGCCCGAGGAAGGTCTGAGCCGGACTCCCTCCCCATATATGAAGTGCAAAAATGTGTGGGTCTTTCTCTTTCAGGGCCATGTCTGAAGATTCTGCTCAGCAAATGCCTGGGTACCGTCATCATCCTGGGATCAATGTTTGGTATGAGACTGCTTCACTTCTTTTTGCTCTTTAAAGCAGGGCGGGTAATTTTTGTGCGCCCTGGGCCACATTTGAGTTTTAACTCAGGCAAGGTAAATGTGCCAAGTAATTAATTTCATAGATAAATGCATTCTGAGTTTTTTTTTTTTTTTATTTAATCAATATTGAATAATTGATTTCGTTGATCATTTGACGGTGTGTCATCCAGTGAAGCTGCCTCAGATCGTGAAGCTGATGGGCGCCAAGAGCGCCGCGGGCGTGAGCTTCCTCTCGCTGCTCGGTGAGCTGCTCGCCATCACGGGTTCGCTGGCCTACAGCGTGGCCCACAGCTTCCCGTTCAGGTGAGGCCCACGACGGCATCGCGACAGAGCTCGATTTTCCCCGCTGGAAATCGATTCACCTGTGCGCCTCGCGTGCGTTTCGGCAGCGCTTGGGGCGAGGCGCTCTTCGTCATGCTACAGACGATCATCATCGGCTTTCTCATTCAACATTACGGAGGGAGAACCTGCCGAGGTGAGACTCAGTCAACTAAGAACTTGGAAGATGATTTTTCTCTTTCTTATACAGTGGAACCGGTGGGTGGTTGAGTGGAAGAGATGTCATGTATTTTGAACGTCCGACCGACCTACCAACGCGCTAACTAATTTAATTTCGTCCAGTCTCGTCTCGTCAACGAAATCTCCCATTCGTCACGTCATATTGTAGTTATCAAAGAGCCACGTTTTGCTTCGTCATCATCTCGGTCTCGCCATGAAAAAAATTCATGAAAATAACGAAATAATTTCGTCATCGGTGACGAAAAATAACTCCTGTGAAGTGGTAATTTCATTGGTCAAACGTGACGAGCCTAAGGGGAAACCTATTGATGGCATGAAGCGTGTCAATAAAAAAATATCAGTAAACACATGAAAAGCACCCAAAGTTCAAAAAGTGGGGGGGGAAAGGAGTAGATTATAGTAATTTAATGTAAAATAAAAAGGCAAATATGACAGTATTTATACATTTTGATTTTTGCTCGAAAATGTTCTTTTACTTATAATAAACAAATTATCCATATGTCTTTCTAGGGTTCTCAGTCTTTCAATCCATCAACCTTCCTGTCATAGTTCAGTCTCCGTTTCACGATCGAAATTGAAAATGGTGCTCTGCTGCCCTCTGTTGGTCACCCCCCATATTGTGTTCAGGCGTACTGTTTGTGCTACTCTACTTCGGTGTGCTGGCGTTCCTGCTGTCTCCACTGGCCCCCGCGTCCCTGCTCACCGCCATGCAGGCCTCCAACATGCCCGCCATTATCGTCAGCAGGGTCGAGCAAAACATTCCTCAAATAGTCACCTGTTGTACTTTTTAATTTCGTTTTTTTTTTTTTAATCAGTGGTCGATAATCATGTCTGCAGGTGATTCAGGCGGCCACCAACTTTTGCAACGGACACACGGGCCAGTTGTCGGCTCTTACTGTCATCGTTTTGTTTGCTGGCTCACTCTCACGCATCTTCACCTCAGTGCAGGTACACGCAACAAAAAACAGGGCAGTGTAAAACCGGCTGCAAGCACAACCAAGCCATGTCTTCCAACTAGTGGTGAATGGGTGTATTACAACTTAAAACTACACAGTTGAACGCCAAAAGCAAAAATGCACGTCTAACTGATGCCCATTGAAATACATTGGATTTTTTTTGACTCAATAGAGCCCCAAAGTTCTGTATTTGAGCTAATTTCGTATTAATATATGCAGAGATGACAATTCTTCCCAGTTTGGCAGTACTGTATTTTCTTATGTGTACCCTGTTACATTTACCATTTGATCAATGAAAACCATAGAAGAAGAAAATCAATCAAACCAATACTTTTGATTAAAGTTGAATTATCTTTTTCCCAATACATCGCTACAATTAATGAATCACAATAATAATAGTTTACACAATTTACATTTGTTTTTATTGCCTTTGCCACGGTTTGGGTTGATAGTGCCAGTCTTAGCCTGTAACCGATAACCGATAATTTGTCTCCTCGAAGGATTTCTTTTGTTTTTGAATCGCAACCCTTGCATCCTCAGGAAACGGGCGACACCCTGCTGGTGGTCACCTACGTGGTGTCGGTGGCCTGCAACGGCCTGGTCGTCGTGCAGGTGCTCTACTACTGGAAGGCCACCAAAAAGTTCCTACAAGACCAACGGGAGCTTACGCAGCCGTAGATGCTGTCCTGCTCCCGAGTGATCAACACGTTCCCTGGAAAAATTTGATATCCGTACGAAGGTCTTTGGACGCTTTTTATCTGGAGTCTTGGATCCTTCAACTTTGTCAGTCGCGGCCTGTACAAATTGCGCCGGCATCCTTTCCTCCGGTCGGGCACGCGGCACTATGCGGTGCAGATAATCAGCTTGGTGGACTCGCTGCGGAGGTCACGGATGCCGTCTTGCAGCTGACCTAAGGACTTAACGACAGCACGGACAAGTACTTGAAGGACTCTCAGAACGCCAAGAGAGCTTTCAAGAAGAAAGTGGCGGCTCGTATTAAAAGAGGCGGCCAGTGCGCTCATTGACGAAGTGGTGGAGTTTCACGGCATCAGAGAGGAGCTCCCGAAGGCCACTGAGAACTTTTAAACGCGTGTGTCAAGGATGAATACAAGAGCCATGTACAGTCTACTAATTAGTCGTTTCTGAATCAACATTTTGTTCATGAGAAAGTTTTCCCGATTACATAAAGATGCTCTGTTCATACTTGTTGGAGACAATCCTTCTCTTGTTGAACTGAAGACGTACAGTATATCCAGCAAAGGACTGCACGGCAACAAAAATTGCCCCCCCCCCCAAAAAAAAAAAAAATCACGCATCACGAGTTAGTCAGTTGGCAGTTGTCTTTTGAACATGTAACACCAGAAATAAGGTCATACAATGGGCAGACAAAGAATGGTAAAAAACAAGCACGTTGAGACCAAAAACTGAAAAAATGACCATGCATAGTAATACATTTTTCAAAAAAATGATTGTCGAGTAATAAGGCTGTTAAGATAAAAAATGATTTGAAAAGGACCTCAAAGGCATCTTTTGTATTTACGTAAAGGTGTTTAAAAAGAGAGATGGGCGTGCAGAGGGTGGGGCCATTGGGGCGGGGCCCTGGGCATCCACCTGAGAGGAGGGGGGGCATTCACAGCACCCTGAATGCGTATTTACGGGCATGCGGATGGGATTGAGGGGCATCCATTGGGGAAAACTCGTAGCCGCCGCAGCCCCCACAGGGTTTCAAATTGGGGGTTTTAACTGAGATTAGGGTTTCAAAGTAGGATTTTAAACTGGGGTTAGGGTTTCAAACTGGGGTTTGAAACAAGGGTTAGGGTATCAAGCTGTGGGTTGGGTTTGAAATTAGGGTTAGGGTTTGAAATTAGAGTTTTAACTAGGGGTGCCTTTTGAATTTGGCTTTCAACCTCCAGTTAGGGTTTCAGATTTGGGTTAGGGTTTTACATAAGGGTTTCCATCGAGGGTTCAAATTTGGGTTTTAAGATAAATTCGGGTTTCAAACTAGGGCGAGGATTTCAAATTTGTCTTTTAAACTAGGGTTAAGGTTTCAAAGAAGGGTTTTAAACCAGGATTGGGGATTGAAATTAGGGTTTCAACTAGGGTTAGGTTTAAAATCAGGGTCAGGGTTATTGGGTTTCAAATTTCGTTTTACAATTCGAGTGATGGTTTTCAATTAGGTTTTAACACAAAATTAGGGTTCCAAAATTGGATTATGATTTCAAATTAAGGTTTTCAGCAAGGGTTTGAATTCAAATTAGGGTTTCAAAATAGGATTATGATTTCAAATTAGGGTTTAAAATTATGGTTCAGGTTTCACGCTAGGGTTAGCGTTTCAAATTTGGCTTTCAAACTAGGATTTAAAACTCGGGTTTGGGTTTTGGATTCGGGGTCGGGTTTTATTTTATTTGTTTTACTATAATTTTTAAAAAATAACTTTTGACGTCTCTATTCTTATTTATAACATATTTGTTGAGTGCAAGAAAAAAAAAGGTCTTTCAGCCTTGCGTAATAAAGTAAAGTACAAGTTCCAAACGACCGTTCCACCTTCCTTCGGCCGAACAACCACACAGCTAAATGATCAAACGGAACCCTGAATGCTCACGTCTGAGATGAACTGACAAATAAAAAGGACACTTTCCCACAGTACTTATTTGGTAATTTGTTTCCTGCCCTTTTTTTTTTTTTTTTTTTTTTTTAACATTCACTTTTATTTTATGTTATGTTGTTACTTTTTGCAAACTATAATTACCTTGCCAGGGACTACTGAGAGCTAACATGAAGAAAACTCAGCAACCACCTGGGCGGCAGCAGTGGCGGCAACGGCGGTGGCGGTATCTGCGGCGGCATCGGCGCTCTGGAAGGCAAACAGAAACAACCCAAAAGACCCAATTGAACACAGAACACCATGTGTGTGTGTGTGTGTGCGTGTGTGTACCAGAGCAGTCAAGCAAGCAGGAAACTTCACACTCAACGCTTGCGACCGTCGACGTGTTTTGGTGCCTGCGCAAGTCGTTTCCTGTACAAAAGAAGCAGGCCATCCTTTCCATCCCATAGATTGGATGTACAATACCACCTGCGACTATTTGGCAATCTTGATTATTACTTACTAAAATGTGTACAACTACAGTTCAGCGCGCGGACACGCGCGCACACACACACACGCACACACACGCACACACACACACA